ATCTTAAGAAAATGTTATGACCATTTGCACAATTAATTTTTTGGCATTTAAGTATATTGTGTGAATTTTAAGACCATTTTGTTAGGAATTGAACAATTAAATTTTTTACATGCAATTATATTGTGCATCTCTTTTACCTAAGAATTCAAATTTTGTGTAGTCAAAATTTATAAGTACATTGTAGATACAAAACTCCTATCAAATATAATTTCTACACTATAAAAGTGCTTGTTGTGATAGTACTCCTATCGAGTACAAATTTGCACCGTATAAATACTTACAAATTTTATGTTTGAACTAATGATCTTATATACTTGCTCCTTATTGGTATTTTGTGGCCACATTAATCTAGAGTAACATTTTTTATTTAATAGGAAATATATAATTTTCCAAATTGCTTCTGAATTTACATAATCACTTATTTTATGAAACTCAAATTAATAAAATGTTAAATATTGTATAACATTTATTGATTATTGATATAACCATATGTATTTAGATTTGGTATTAGGCTATTAAGAGTACTAAAATACATGTGGACAATGTTTCTTTCTGGCCTTTACAATTTTCATAATTAGTTGAACTTTGAAGAAAACATATTGTGAGTCCACCGATCAAATGCTTAACTACTAAAGTTTATTGAAATATATAAATTAATTATTTGGTTAAGTTTTGATATTTTGATCAATGGGAGTCTAAAATCATACCATTAGAGGTATGTATAAAATAACATTATTTTTTATACATATCTCTTATAGCATTTTAGATGCTTAGACCATTTTGGGACTAACATATTTATTTTAATTTAATAATAATTTTTTATCCATCTTACTCTTGGTGGAGATATAAGCTTCTTGGCATGGATGATATATGTCCTTATGGGAATTATTTATGCAATGTCAAATGTTTGTATTTTTGTCATTTGAATTGGTGTATGCTTTGACCATAATTGATATTTTAATTATAAAATTTTATACTTTTATAATTGACTAATGTTATCCAAGTGAGAGATTGTTGGATTAGTTATTTAATTAATCTAATTTTATAAATTAACTTTAATCAATTATTAAGAAATATTTTTTAATTATTAATATTAATATATTAATAATTAATAATAGCCACTAGTTATTGTTATAACACCTAATTATCTGATAGATGTTGTATTGAGTTTTTATTCTGAATAGTCCGTGATAGGTTAGACTATTCATCAATACTTAATGAGAGGTTCCTATCCTCATACAATTAGTTATTTAATTGTTATCCCAACAAATGGTTAAAATGTTTTATTTACTAATATGATTGTAACTAAAGATAATTTTCTCATTCAAGTGCCTTTTATAATATTTATTTGAATCTCATGAAGAGTAAGACAAACAAATACTTTATTAAGTTGTATAAATTCTGTTCTCTCATTCTTTCTATATTTATATAACAATATGCTATAATTTTGTATATATAGATCTTTGTATGATTAAAGTTTATATTTTTCATCATTGGAGGGATCAAATATTTTTTAATAGGGACTAAAAAACAAACTATACTGCTAGGACCAAAAATAATTAAATAAAAAATATTTAAAGTTAGAATGACTATTATTAACTATGTAATACTTAATAACATAATGTGATGAGTCGAACATGTAAATTTTACTTTTATGAAGTCAATAACAAAATGGATTAGTTGGATAGTAAAACGAGGAGACAAATTGTCATAACTAAATAAACAATTATTCTCATACCTTAGCTAAAATTCAAGGGAAGTCTAATTTTCTTCTTAAGGAAAAGACCCCTATATGAGCTATAAGAGGTTCTGATATGAGCTGCAAACTTTAAAATAGGAGAAAAAAGAGATGCAAGAATTAATTAAAGTTCGTCACTTTTAAACTTTAAAACAAGGAAAGGAATGTTGTTTTGAGCTTTTTTCAATCTCCCAAAGGCCAAATATATATAAACAAAAAGATAAAGAAAAACAATACCTAAAGACCGGAAAAGAAAGCCAAATCTTGCAATAACATAGTTCTCTAATACAGAATCGCCGAGAAAAATGGCTTTACTTAAAGAATGTACAACAAGGTTTATAGATGATTAAATCTCTTTCAAAAGACTAATTTTAGCATTGATAGTCTACTTGGTAGAGTTCTACATCAGAAAATAAATCTAAGTGATAGGCTAATATATAGTCAAAAGCTTCTCATGCTACAATTACACTTTTAGTCTCCATTTCATTTTTAATTCAATTTTATCTCTACTTTTAATTAAGAAATTTTGATTAATGATAATATATGTAATATTTAATTATTCAGATAAATGAGAATAATAAATATTTATTATTAGATCTTATTTAAATGATCAAAATTAATATAGAATAAATATACATGACTTTTAAATTGATTATATTATTAGAAATGTTATATATAGTGACATATATAAAAAATGTTTTGATAGATACAATGTATGTAAGTATAAATCAATTTAACATATAATTATGCATAATTTTGGAGTTAATTTTAAATGAGATTTAATAATATTTATTGTTTATCATTATAGTATATATTTACATTTTTTTAATAATATATATTATATTTATAATATAGATACAATTGTAATGTTATATGTGACTATTAAACATACATATGTGTATTCTATGTAAATCTTATAAGTTGTTTTATTCCTAATATAAATGTATATAATTGCACTTAATTTAAACAAAATGTCTTATTATCCTATTTACTTTTTTTGTTTTTGTTTTTGTTTTGAGACTTTCTTTAGTTTGTAATTTAAAAATTAAAAGTTGTTAAATGAAATAGTTTATTAGCAATATAAAAATTTATTGGAAACATTAAAGCCTGCAATTCTGGATTAATAGTTAAGTTGTGATTTGTGTGGCCTATAAGCATTCTGTTGGGAACTTTGTGTAGACAATAAGTTTTCTTTGCTCTGATTATGCTCTTTGACGGATGTGCAATGTTGCAGCATCGAAGGAAAGGGTAAAATTCCTGAACTCTAGTTTTTCTCTTTTAACTGTTATCATTATAAAATCTTTATCGATTTTTTTAAGGATTAATCTTTCATAATAAATTTAGTTATTTATCTTAAATGAAGTCTGTTTTTTCAAATACATTTTTTTATTTATTCATTAGTCTATAATCTCAAACTTTTAATTAAGGTACACAAGCTTAATTCTACTTAAATTAATAACATTGATTAAATTATATCCAGACATACTAAGACTGACACATTTAGTTTTAATAGCAATATTGCAAAATAATGATTGTCTTTTACCTAATTATTATATTGGCAACATTTTAGCACTCTCCATTGTTCATTTTTTGTGATCTTTAAAAGAAACAGTTAACAAAACCACAATTAGTACCTTGAACTCATAATAATTATTACCTTGGATAGTTATGCATTCACATACCCTAAAAATAGTGGTGATGGGTCTTTTTGTGGCGAAAAAAAATCTGATTCTGGAAAAGCAAATTCCCTGCTGGAACACATATTCTTGCACTTTTCATCGAAATTAGGAAATTATTCTTCTTCACATTAACATTGCTCCTAACCAAGTCCTTCATTACTTCACTTGCAATTCACTTCTTTATTCTTCTCTGCATTGAAAAGTTTCTTTGTATGTAGAAGATAAATGGAAAATAGGGCACATGAATACTTTTATCCTTGGCTTTGGAAAAAAAAATAATCAAAAAGAACCAAATTAAGCTATGATGATTTTCCAATCGATCTAACTAGGATTTATGAACTTTGGGTGAGCATGCAATTGGAAATCTTTACATATTTATAGGTCTCATTCGCTGAAGAATCTATGAATCCAAAGAAATGTCAAGATCAAAATCAGAATCTATCTTCTTTAGCTCGTGTGAACATAAATGCCCCCACTTTTATTTATTGATTAATATTCCTTTTTATTGCATAGTTATAAAATCATGATATCCAAAAAAATCAATTAGATTCTCTATACAGAAGAGACATAAACAGAAATATATGCCGCATCAAAAACATGCAATTATCAGTTTCAGGGTCAGTGGAATTTATTTATTACAAATTGCAAAAAACCAAGGTACTAATTTCAAATATATTAGCAAGTATTTCATGTATTATTTTAATATTTTTTAAAATATAAAAAATATTCAAATATGCGTTAGAAAAACATAATAGAAGATTAATTAATTGATAGATTATTATTTTTATAAAAACGTAAAGTAAAATATAACAATACATACTTTCAAAACATTTATATTATTCTTCTTTTAAAAAATGGCTTATTTGATAGAAGATTATTTTTCTCTAGGTGATTAGAAAATACCAATAAATACTTAAGACATCATGCAAAAATAAGTCAGTAGTATTCACAGTACTATAAGCGATATTAGTTTCTGACCTAATAGATTAAAGATATCCATAACAAGACACAAAAATAAAAAGATTATTTTTCTCTTGTAATTTGTAAACATCTAATTATATTATATGACAATTGATAAAATTTGTGTTGTTTAAAAATTAAGGAAAAAAAAAGTCTCATTTAATTGAATAACTAATTAACAAATATTTTTTATAAGATATGTATTAAAAAATGAGAAAAACGTACTTAAAGAAACTAGTTATCTCACTCTGAAAAATATAGACCGAAATCTATAATACATAATCAAAGAGGGTTAGTCTAGTAACGGGAACTTAAATAGTTTTATATGATTTCCTAAATTTTCGAACCTCATTGCTGTTATTGTATAAGAAAAATATATATTTCAGAAATGAATAATTAATAAATTCACATATTTAAATCAGGGTAAAAGAGAAAGCCTATTTATTTCATTATTATGGCTCAAAAAAGCAGGGGGCCATTAGGAGAAGAATAGAGAAAAGGGTGATAGGTCACTGTGAAGAAGCATCTTGTAAAATAGATTATTCTATGCTACTCCTAGTGAGATTATTCTATCCTAGTAATTGAAAATTCAGCAAAGTAGCCTAAAAAAGCATGTAGGATAGCATATTATAAGCTGTAGATGTCCAAAATTTTTCAACAGTTTAGTTAGGCTTAGGCATCATCATGATTTCCTTAGCAGATGTCTATCATGTAGTGACAGCCACTGTCCCATTATATGTGACCATGTTTCTAGCCTACATCTCTGTGAAGTGGTGGAAGCTCTTCACACCAGAGCAATGTTCTGGCATAAACAAATTTGTGGCCAATTTCTCAGTCCCAATTTTGTCCTTCCAAGTCATTTCCTCCAACAACATTTTCAAAATGAGCCTCAAACTCATGTATGCAGACTTTGTCCAGAAGCTGCTTGCATTTCTAGTGTTCACAGCAATCATCAAGATCAGGGGCAGAGGGGGTTTGAAGTGGATCATAACTGGTCTCTCACTATCAACACTTCCTAATACTTTGATCCTTGGAATTCCACTCATGAAGGCTATGTATAGAGATGAGGCTTCTGTTCTCCTGCCCCAGATTATTTTTCTCCAGAGCATGGTGTGGTACAATTTGTTGTTGTTTCTTCATGAGCTTGATGCTGCAATTCCTGCAAGGACCATGCCTGTTGTTGCGCCTCCTCAATCACAAGAAACAGGTGAGTATGTAGATTTTGTTGATTTGCATGTTATGTTGAAAAGTGTATTGCGGTATGAGTGGAATAAAAAGGGGTGTGAAAACTGAAAAATGACAATTTTTTTTCATTTTTCCCCTTCCGATTTTCAAGCACATCCTAATCCAAAACTGATTGATTTACTTGATATCTGTTACAATAAATAACATTATATACCCTTTCTTCAGTTTTAAATTAAGTATTTAAAAATTATTCTTTTTCAGTCAACTGAAGTAATGTATGACAATCAAAGTGGGGCCAGAACCAATTTTATATTTCTCTTTGTTTTTCTATTCTTTTCTTTCTTTCTCTCTTCGATCAGATTCCATTTGAATACTTATTCCTCTAAAATGCAATTAAAAGTTCACAAACTATCTATCTTATTGCCAGTGCATTAAATTAGTTAAACAATGTTCTGTGTCTTTTAAATATTTGAGCTTCATGTTAGTAGTATTCTTTCCGCTGCATATAAAATGTCTCCTTAAATATTTATTATTCATTTATTCGCATTTAGCCTCAATACTCAATTAATTTGTGACCACATTTTAAATCTTCTAATAAGAGTACTTTTGTTGAAGAGAATCATTTCATCATTGTAATTTGTGCTTAAGAGACAAATAATACAATAGAAGTGGTGTTATTTATATACAAACTATTCCGGTAAAAAGCATTATTATGGTTGTACGTACATTACTATTACTGCAATGGAAGTGGTGTTATTTATATGTTCTTGCTTTCTGCTTAAAGGGGAATCTGAGACTTCTCAAGAAATACAAACAAAAGAAGAAGAGGAAGAAACAGAACATGGAACGCAGAGGAAAACCAGGATGTTGCTCATTCTGATGAAAGTAGGGAATAAATTAATCATTAATCCCAATACCTATGCAACTTTCATTGGTCTTGTTTGGGCAAGCATACACTTCAGGTAAGTAAACTGAAGAGTCATAAAGTTCTATCATGTCTCATCAAATTTGTTTCCCTCACTCAAGTCATTGATATAAATCATTATATGAGAAATAATTTTTTCATTAACTTGGCATATATTATAAGTTTATTAATTTTATAATAATATTTAAAAGTTATATCAACAGTGATCTGACAATGTGATTTTTTTTAAGCCGATAGTGCATAGAAATTAAAATCTTACTATATTTACATATCATTAAGGGAGAAATAAGGATAATTAGATAAGCCTATTATTGCAGGTGGGGAGTGGATATGCCAGATGTTGTTAATCAGTCGATAGACATATTGGCCAGTGGAGGTCTAGGCATGGCAACTTTCAGCTTAGGTAAGAGAATGAATCAATTGGTTCCTGTTATGAACTATTGAAATAACAAATCAAGAGTTGCATTAAAACTTACTACTATAAGCCTTGTTACCTATTTCTCGAATGAAATTTCAACAGGTCTATTTATGGCATCAAACTCCCGCATCATAACATGTGGGCCAAGGATGACACTGATGGCAATGGGCCTGAAATTTCTTGTTGGGCCTGCCATAATGGCTGTAGCCTCCATTGTGATTGGATTAAGAGATAGAATGCTCAAAGTGGCAATTGTTCAGGTGATGATTTCTTTCCTTTTTGTACTCTTGTTTAGGAACAAATTTTAAAATCTTATTATGGTTACTCCCTCCTTTGTCAGTTAATAATATTTAATTAGTTTGAATATTTTCCCCTATATTTATCTAAAAAAATTAAAATTGGGAAAAAAAAATGTCAGGTGTCGTGATTCTAATGGAAGGATTACATACTCCTAAAACACTGAAATTTTATCCCTTTTCAGATTATGGAAAGATACTTGACGTTATATGGTTTTGTATGTGCAGGCAGCTCTACCCCAAGGAATTGTTCCTTTTGTTTTTGCCAGAGAGTATAATGTCCATCCAGGCATTTTAAGCACTGGGTCAGTAAAACTTCTTAGCATACCTCTTTGATAGCCTTTGCATATAGACTAGCTAAGATTAGATGTTGTTCTTGTTTTGGTCACAGGGTCTTGCTGGGAATGCTCATGGCCTTGCCAGTGGCATTGACCTACTATGTCCTCTTATCACTCTGAGACACTATGTTAAATAGATACCAGAAACAATGACAGAAGAGTTGCATTGGTGTAAAACTAACGGTTTACATAGTTGTATATGGTTGGTATTGATTCATAAATAGTCAGAAAAAGAAAAAATATATATATTTATAACATATTTTGCTTTAGTAGAGAAGAACATTTTGCAGCCGTTGACTCAACAGAGAAATAAAGCATACTTGTGCGTTCATCATCTTACAAATTCAAATACTCAGAAATTAAACAATTGCAATTATGTTTGTGTATGTATTCAACATTGCCAAGTTACCAACTTACTAAAAAGTTCACCCACTCGAGCCAATTTGTACAACTTTGGGAAACCAAAACAGCACAAGTGGCATCTTTCAGGAATCAAATTGTATGCTTCCTCGATATAAGGGATGCATTTTCACCGAATCTTTATCGAATAAAATCAATCAAGATTACCAAGAGTTAGAAATTTAGAATGAAAATTTCCCTTTAGTTTGGAGGTGCCGTCAAGAATTGTATTAATTAAGTGCATGTTTGAATTTCAGTTGGAAAAGTTCAATTTTTTTCTTTATATGTGCATTAGAATTCACAAAAGCACTTTTGAAACTATAATCCAAACAGCCTAAAATTGAAGGTAACATAAGCATAGAAGTAATTACATTTGACAAAAGGTGATAAGAACCTGAGAGAACCACGTCACAAAAACTAGCAATTGTAGTTGGAGAGTCCAATGTCTTATGAACCCTACACTAAAATTTTACACTTCTAATATAGGATTCAAGTTTCATACCTTGCAATTGGATCTAACATCCCACCATGAGCCTGGCGCCCACACGAGCTGGCTGTGTACTAGCCACTTTGACTAGACTTGGGTGAACATTGCAATGCCGGTTTCAACACCCACATTGCTCGTTCACAACTGGGACACATGGTGGATGACTCATACCAATTGATAAGAATCTTGGAAGAACAACACCACAAAAGCTAGCTATTGGGGTTGGAAAATCCAATGCCTTATAAATCTTATACTAGAATCTCATACTTTCAATGTGAAACTCACATCCCATACCTTGCAATTGGATACTAACAAAAGGTTCGTTTCCATTTTCCAACACTTCAGTTTTTACTAGCCTACCTTGTTCATCATTGTTTTTCTCCATCCAACATAGCATCTAGCTGTTCTTCCTTTTTCGAATTTAAAATGCAAAGCTATCTTGCAATCCTGGAGCCTATCACTTTTACTGAAACAAGTCTCCTCGTGTATATAATATACAAGAGTAAATATATGTAAAATATTTTTACACCATCATCCCATAAACTAAAACATGAGATATGTTAACAACACATTCTCTAACATACTCTTTTAAATACAACCTCTAATTGGTTAAAATTTGTTGAAAAACACAAAATCTAGTGGATCTCCTGCTCTATTTAATGACCATCTCTTTTGATTTTATAGTTTTCAATAAATTCTAATAAATGAAAGTGAGTGTATTAAAGAGTGTATTATTAACACTCCTCATAACACATTATAAGTTTGATTACTTAGATAATATCTACCTTGCAAGTCATACTAAACATGATTGCTAATTGGTTGACGGTATAAAAACTTCTACAGTGAAAGTGCAGATACATGATATGGTTTTGCTTCCTCTTGGCAAATGTATGCGAGTAATGTTACATGTTAAGAAGATGATACCAAATCAAGCATGAAAAAACATAGCTTTTTTTATTGGATAAAATTTAAATAAAAAAGAAAGGTTTCATTGAAATCACTTAAATTTTTACTAAAATATAAGTGAAAAGTTATGAGCTAAAGTTCCTTTAACATATACAAAATGACAATCATAAATTTAAGATAAATAAAAATGACTATTCATCTTACAACAACGCTTGCAGCATGATCAATCTTGGACCAATCCTCAACTTGATTAGGTTTTTGTTTTTCTGGTATTTATGAACTTAAAACTCCTTTTATACGGTATATGCAATACAAACATCAGCCTTTATCCAAGTCATACGAATACTCGCCTTAGTCGCCTAACAAGTTGCACGCCAAATAGGTCAATTTCTTTAGGTCATGGCAATTTCTTTATTGATTGGTAATAGTACAAATAATTGCAAAGGGATGATTGGCGGAGAATTTGAGTCCAATTGAATTTTGCAGAACCCAGACAAATCGACAATGATGCATTTTAGGCATTGCAAATCTTGTTTAATTCTAGAACTAGTTATGCAAGTATGCGAGTTGTGTGGTAGCTAATGGCATTGCCGCTGTCATAGTAGACTAAACATTTCAACGATTAAACATTTCAAAGTCGTGAGTTATGTGAAATTCAGGTAATTATTAAATAGACCACTGGTATAAGGTACTTTCTAAGCAATTGCTAGCCAAACCTTTTCTCACTAAAGCATCAATAACAATGTGAATTTCTCTAGTACTATATGCAAAATTAGTGAACACCTGAAAATTTGAAAGCATAAATGCCACAGGCAAGAGGGTGATCATTTATAATTAAATGGTGCATTTTTATTTGGGCAACTTCAGCATGAATACTGTTTGATGTACTGTAGCCATAAGATTACTAACAATACTCTAGCATGAACTCATTAAGGAACAAGAACCACAAGATTTTCAAATTAATGCAGTTTTACTTCTTCAGGGAATAAAGGGCTTTTATGTTTTAGCAACTGTTACAGGGGATAGTTCAGATATTCTTAACATCATGAGCTTTTCTTTTTTGTTTGTACCCGGCTGCCAACCACAGAAGGCTGGCTCTCTTTGGCTGTGTTTTAGATTTCCTTGTCTATCTTTTCTTGCTCCTATTCCTCTTATATACTACATATTTCATTGTAGGATATCTAATCTACTGGTGATTTGCTAATACTGATAGGCTATATAGTAATGATCAACAAGTGTCATAATACTGAAAAGGTAAAGGGAAGAAAAATCCAAGAAAACAAAACTGATCAGAGTATGAAGAAAAAAGGGTAGGGAAACATCCGGTTGAACTGGAGTATATAGTTCAAGCAATCTAAATACTTAATGCATCAGCATACCTCTCTTGTACAACATGTTTTGTGTTTCCTTAAAATAATACAAACTTCTGTTCTGTCCTCTTCCAGTGAGTGAGAGCATCAAAATTGCTTCCTTTTGTTTCTGAAAAGCTTGTCCCGTCTTGCATAAACATAAGAGAGAGCTAGGAAAGCCGATGCAGATATCGACACAGGAGCCCAGGGAAAGGGAGGGTCCCTAAAGCACACAAGGGACGCCTCTATCTCCTGGGAGGCATGATATACAATGGAGTGAATGGCATAGAGATCATGATCCGAAGACCTCAAGTAAAACAAAGCCATCTCAAAATCCAAATGCGACAACGAAGACACCGCCTTGTTGAGCTTGTACTTGAAAAGGTTCCACCTCTGCACAAACTCCACATGCTGCTTCTGCTTGAGCAGGTTCTTCGCCCCACCATGAGTCTCCACAGACTGAAGAACATCTATAGCACTTGTTATGCTGTAATTCAACGATGTCAAGAGAACATTCCTCCTGGCAGCATCCTTCTGCACAAAGGACAAACTCATCATCTCAGAAAACGGCCCGAACGGCGTCTGTCCCATACTCCAAGTATAATCCAGCAAAGTCTCATTATGCTGGGGGCTCCAATTCAAATGTGTGGGCGACACGCCCCACATACTCTGCAGAATCGAGCCGACGATCGGCCTCTCGAGCTCCCTGGTCTGTGTAAACACATGCCTCCCATTGCAGCTATAATCACTCACAGTCTGAGTATTCTTGGTCCTCACTGCAACCACCATATCCTTAAACGCAACTGATTGATGAAACCGATCAAGCAGCAACAGATTCGTGTAATCCAAGTCAAATACATATACTGGAATAAGCCTCCCGTAGTCCTCCTCAGGAATCTTAGCGAGCTTCCTCAGCTCCTCCCCAGAGTCAGACAAAATCTGGTGCAACCTTTTGGAATCCAAATACTCGCTCACAATGAGAGTGTAGTTGTCAAAGAGGAACCTGGAGGTGTAGGAATTGGTGGCGCGGGAGATGGCGAAGGAGCAAATGGAGCATTCGGAAAACCTAATTTGGTAATTCTTGAAGGTGAGGGTCTGATCGGCTAACAGCAACCGATCATTGTTGGTGTTTTCGAAGGTGAAGGTTTTCTCGATGGATTTCCAATCGAGGCCGTGGAGGTCGGTTTCGTCGCCGGAGTGGATGTGGATGAATTGGACGACGAGGTTGGTTTCGAAGGGGACGGGGATGCGGAGGGAGGGGGCGAGGAAGGTGTGGTAGGCGCTGTTGACGAGGGAGGCGAGGTCGGCGGCGAAGGCTTTGGGGGATTTGACGCGGCGGGCGTGGAGGGCGGCGAGGGGGTGAAACTCGCCGCGGGGGATGACGCCGTCGCCGGAGATGGCGGGGCCGTAGTCGACGGGGCCGGCGCGGAGGTCGATCCAGAGGTAGCGGTGGGAGGAGGTGAAGAAGGTGCCGGAGCATTTGGTGACGGCGGGGGAGGAGTCGCCGGAGGAGTAGGAGTAGGCGTAGGGTTTGGGGTTGGGATTAGGTTCGGGGAGGTTGAGGAGGTAGAGGTGGACGTGGTTGGGGTTGGGGATAGGGTTTAGGGAGAGGAAGTGTTGTTGGATGATTTGGTCGAGGGGGGAGTAGGGGATGGGGAGGAGGGAGGAGCGGAGGGAGGAGGGGGTGGAGTGGAGGAGATTGGAGAGGGTTTGGGAGAGGTGGGAGGAGAGGGAGGAGGGGGCGAGGGTGGTGTGGAGGTGGAGGGTGTGGGAGAGGGAGAGGGTGTGGGAGAGGTCGAAGGGGGTGATGAGGTGGAAGCGGGTGGTGGGGGGGGCTGAGAGGAAGGAGGAGAGGAGGGCGGGGGTGTCGGGGGGGAAGTCGCCTATGAGGTGGAGGGAGAGGGTGATGGGGAGGGAGAGGGAGAGGAGGGAGGCGGGGGAGAGGGAGAGGGAGAGGGACTGGGAGAGGGATTTCTTGATGGAGGAGGGCAGTGAGAGGAAGCTGTCGTTCGAGCCTTGTCGGTCCTTCAGGGATTGCTGGCTTAGGAACGAGTCCAGCCCGATGATTGGGCTGCCTCTGCCGCCGCCGCTCATCAAGAGGACCGCCAACACCAGAAGCCCCAGGGTGGTGGTTGTGGTGGTGGTGGTGCTGGTGCTGGCAGAGGACCACATGGCAGGCCCGAGTTTAATTCAGCTACCACGATGTGTGTGTCTCAGTGTCACGGCTCCATATGTGTCTAGTAGAATTGGAGTCACTCGAGTGCGGTCAATGTCTGACTAATCATACTAATCAAAGAATCAGAGGACAGGGAGAGAATTACTCAATTAGTGCTAATCAATTTTTGCTAGAGACTAATAATACCAACACTTAGAAATGATTTTACAGATTAAAAACATATTTTACTGTACCTAAAATGATTTATATTAGTTAGAAATTAACTTTCCATTTGAATTTTATTGTTTTGAAAATTATTTTTAAAGTCAGTGTTTTAAAAAAGAAAAAGAAAATTGCTCGATGTTTTCAGTTGTTCTTTTATTTTCTTCTTATAACTATGGGCGGAAGTGATATAGGGTGGGTTTGGTTACTTTGGTGCGAGTAGAACTTGGTGCAGACATGGTTGTGTTGATTTAAGCATAAATTTATGCATAATTTCATGTATGAAATTTGGATCAAAAAGGAGGTGGCTATGCCTATGTCATGTATTTGGATTCTGTACAAGTTCCGTGTTCATAAATAGTTATACAAGACAGGGAAGAAACAAGAATAAATCATTGGTTTGGTCATTTAAGTATTACCCTTCTAATTCTCATTTATTCTCTTTAAAATGATTAAATTATCTAAGTAATTCTTAAAATATTAAAATTCATATTACATAATTCTTAAAAGTATTAATTTTAATTTAATAAAATATATCGATATCGAGATTTAATATATGAATTTTTTATCCATAAAGAATTATTTATATAATTTCATTATTTTAACTGTACAAAAGTGACACTAATAATTAAGGGATCCAGGAATGGTTTAATTAGAATAAAGATATAATTCGATGATGTGTCGCATAGATGGATTGAAATCTCAACTTTACCTGCCTCATTTCTCAACCTAAATATATATATAATTATTCCATTTCTAACCAACTGAAAAATAAAAAAATTGTATCCAATTTTAGGAGCCGCCTAGATTATCAGTCATCACTGTCATCATCAGAGACAGATATAGAATCCCAAAATTTTGATGACGGTTCACTTTCTGGTTTCCTAACAGGATTTGTAGCATTGTTGAAGTCCCTAAAGTGCACCAAACCCCAATTTTCACAAGAGCTAGCAGTAGCAATTCTACACCCATCCACGGCCATGGCACCACAGCCAGATTCAGTACCATCTTTCGCAGTTGAAGAGCAAAGCAAGGAATTTGTTTGTACACCAGTGTCAACTTCCCATACATTCACGTAAGCATCGTCAGGGCCCCCAGTAACTATTTTGTATTGATCCATGTAAAGTGAAGTTACTTGCCCATAATGTCCATCCAACTCAGCTATCGGTTCTGGTTTTAATGATTCTTGATTTCTCCTAATATCCCAAAGCATTGCCCTGCAGCACGGAAGTTATGGTCAGTGCGATCGTGTGTGAGCAAATTTCTCTATAAGCACGCTTCTTACATAAGTTAAAATCAACTTGAGCATTTAATTTGTACAAAAAAATAGAACTCTTTTCATTTAACCAAGTTAAGATGCCTAAGTTAATTTTAGCTTATAAATTTTTTTAATATGTTTTGCTTTTTAAAATTCTTCTCCTATAAGAGTTTAGGAAGAAATTTATCCACATAAGGCCTAAAGATAACATGATATTTGACCATGATCCTTACACAGTAAAAAGTAAAAACAACTATTGGACGAAGTGATTCACTAACTAAGATAATTGGCAGCAATAACGAAGTTTCTTCTCTCAAAATCATAACCATACCTGCCATCACCGCCTGTGCATATTAAATATTTTGAAAGGAAAGCATCAAATGAACACATCTTTGGTTGATGTACAGCTGCGGTGATAACTTTCTGCATTGTCCTTAAATCAACTGCAGTGACAGAGGAACCAGCTGCCACATACAATAGTGTTTCATGGCATTTCATGTTTACAGGTGTACCAGCAACAGAAGTCATCCCAACACAACAGGAGGTACGAACAGAAGATGATGTGGCAGTGCCAGTATCCCAAACCTTCACCTATTAAGATTTAAAAGCTACAATATTGTAAAAGAATAGCCCAATTTCAAGAAAATTATTAGGATTATCAAAATTTTACACTGCCATTGAACCATACAGTACCATCTATTTTAGAAAACTGTCAACTTCAAAAACGAAATCTAAAAACATACATTGTAGGTTAAGAACCTCTTAGTTACTATAATAATGTGACACTTTTTCGATAACTGCTACTGTAAGCCATAAAATTTTCAATTAATGAGGACCAACTTTAAACTTAAATAGTTAAGAGACATAATATTTTAGTAAAGCCTGATCAGCAATTAATAAAGCAGTACAAAACAACATTGGATGAACATAGAGATTTTTTTTCACATGGTTAGAGCAGAATAAAATCTTTCAAATATAAGGCTCAACTTTCCATGGCAATGAATTTGAAGCCCCAAATTATGTCCTATCAATCAAGTAGCATTTGAAAAATGCGTTATCCCACCAAATTAACAAGGTCTAGGAGAAGGAATAAAAGGCCTATATTAGAAGAGCCCAATCCTGTAAATTAAATGATCAATTAGTTATGAGAATGAGATGCAACAAAAAGAAGTTACGATAGTAAGAGGGAAATATATAGCAAAGGGGGGAGAGGAGGGAGTTTTGGAGAGTAGTTGAGAGATTTGTGATAGGAGAGACAGGACCCTTGAATTCCCTGAGTTGTATCATCGTCCAATCTTTCCCATCTTCTCACCGAAGCTTCATCCTGGGAGATTCGGTATCCTAATAAAAGTCTCCTGTTTTCTCTTTTCAGTTTTGTTTCGTTTCTTAAATCAGTATCTTACATAATGCTTCAATACTAGACGGAAAAAATGTTCAACTAGTTCACATAGTAGGTACTACTTAGCACCAAAGAAAGTAAACACTCAAGATCTTGGTTAGCTTCCATAAGGAAAACTATTTGTTATATAAGATGCATTTCGCCAAAGCTTTTCTACATTTTAGTTTTTACAGCAGTTACCATTGCATCAATAATCACAAACATGTTGACTATTACCATATATATTCTCGAGAAACTTATGAAACAATAAGCATGTAATGTTCATCCTTTATGAAATCAAGGTAATTAAAAACGAATAAATCAAAAATCAAATAAATACACAAGTAAATGAACATGACAAAATGAAGACAGGAATACAAGGATTACCTTAGAATCTCTTGAGATGGTCACCAAAAGCGAAGTTTTATGCCTGAAAAGATGAGAACATGAAGGATCTATCATTATAGTTGAATATGACTAATACAAACATCTTAACTTCACCTTAAGGAAATATGCTTAGTAATGGCAATTGCACGCGTTTGAGATTTCAACTCTCTGGTTGAACTAAATACGCAAAACATCTCATGGTTTATTTCTCCATCTTAAGCATAGCAGTATTAGCTTACAAATCATAGTAATGTACAATAACAAATCATAGTATTCGGCCCATTAATACAAGATAAAGAATTAAAAAAAAATTGAATTTATCACAACTTTATTGAACACGTTAAGTCACTGACAAAATATATGTCTATGAAAATAACATCAGCTCAGATCAGTAAAAATGAAATGAAATAAATAATAAATAAAAAGAAACCCAAAAAGTGGGACACAAAACATATGTTCATGTCATGAAGATCAACAAAGTTTTATGTTGGCCCATGACAAATGTGTTACTGTTAAGTGTTAACAAATTCTATAGTTGGTCTTAACCAACAGGAAAGCTCAATCAGTTGCATTGCATCACTACCAGCTAACAAGGCAGAAAATACATGTGAAAATTGTTAGAATCTTAGTATTCAAGTAAAACCAATCAAGCATCCCTAAATTAAAGTATATTCATAAGGCAAGATATAAATCAACATAAAGTAAATGCAAATGAATTTTTATACAATAACTCTCCCTCTGGTACAAGAATAAGAATAAAAGTTTGATCACAAGTTTAATATGCACAGACATAGCATACCTACCCACCCAACTTAATCAGCCAACATTAAAGTCGAGGGAAAATTGTGATTAACTTAACCACATGCTACCCTATAGTTCATTATCCTAACATAATACCGGGGAAAGGAAAGTGCAGTAACAACTAACAATGAATACTAAAATAGATTAACTCATACCCGGCAACAGACATCAAATTTACAGGTTTTTCATGCCCATAGAGTGTAGCCTTCAAAGCACGTTGTCCTCGTTTTCCACTTGAGCCAAGGGACCATAGTCGAATAGTACCATCTTCTCCTCCACTTGCCAATACTTTGCTACTATCCTCTCCCAATAATTTATTTGACAGCGACAACACAGGACCATTGTGACCTCTAAAGCATCGCATGCTTGAACCCTACAAAAAGGCAAAGACGAAAACACAGTCGGCATTAAAATAGACACAACATAAAGAATAACTTGCCTTGATAGTGTCAAGGTTCATCTTGCTAAAGTGCACCCAAGAAAAAATTGTTAAAAGAAAATACTTTTTCCAAGGAGCAAGCACAAGTGAACAATTTTCTGTACATTGGTTTTTGGGAGAAACTTAAACATAGTAGAAACAAAACACACACGAACAGAAAAATGAATTGCAACATAAAACAACTTCAAGTATTTATTCATTTATTTTACTTTTGCTCCCACAAAAAAGAGGAATAAACATACATCCCACACATCATTTATCCAATTTCTCTATCAAGCATTAAAAAGGAAAATTTATAATATTTCCACCACTTTCAGTTTTCACTATCCTTTCTACCTTTTCTACTGAGAACACCCTAAACATGCTGCAGAATAACAGGAATTAGAATCTATAGATAGACATGGGGGACTAACACAATGTTGCTTAAACTAAGCAATACCTTCCACCACAGACGAATGGAGTGATCACAGCTGGAGGTAACTAAAACATTTTGCTCCCCTTGCATTTCACCTCGAAATAATGAAGTCACTTCATTAAGGGGAAACAACCTGCAGTTTGATTATTTTAGTTAAGATTAAGCCAATTCACCCTGAATTCCTTGGAGTTTTAGTTTCTAGGAGGAAAAGATATTCAATATGGAAGCTCAAATATAACAGATAATTAATAATTCCAGGAATGTTGTTATTAGCAAACAAACAAGTCGGATGACTTTATGAAATAAATACAGCTAATTCACAACCACCAACAAAAGCCTTATTATATTAGGTGAGGTCAGCTACATGGATCACACAACACCATTGAGATTGGTTGAAGAACAAACCCTAAGAGATATTATTCACTATAAGATCCCTCTTAATAATTTTCTCCAATGTCCTTCTTGATCTTCCTCTCCCCTTTTTTTACAAGGTTAAACACCATCAATCTACTCTTTCAATGGTGCTTTCAATGTCCTTTACACATGTCCAAAACACCTTAACTGATTTTTTGTCACCTTATCCTTGATCTATGTCACAGCTATATCTTCTCATATATAATCGTTTTGTGTTGTTCTTACATGTTTAGACACATTCTTCTTAAAATTCTCATTTTTGTTATGATTGCCCTTTTTCTTTTATTGTTCCTTTAAAAGCCCGACATTCACTACTGTAGAGTATAACTGGACATATAGCAATATGACAAAAACAATGCTTTGAACTTGGTAGACATTTTATGATCACAAATAACCATCTATATCTTTCTCCATTTAAACCATCTGGCATATCGTGTATGTAATCTTCATTGATTTCTCCATCAACTCGTGGTATGACATCAACTGTCATTTGTACTTCCAAATCACTTTCTTCTCCTTTCTAATTAAATTTATTAAAATTGCAATGTATATATTATGTCTTCCTTTTACTCAAGTGAAACCCCTTTAATTCCCAAGTTTGTCTCTAAAGCTTAAGTTTAAAGCTAACCCCTTCTCTTGATTCCTCAATCAAAAGTTTGACTATATTATACAGAAAAGCATTAAATTGGGGATAGTCTTTTATGCGTCTTTGTTAAGCACATCCCAGACTAGATTATATTATTCAGAAAAGCATGAAATTGGGGATAGTCTTTTATACGTCTTTGTTAAGCACATCCCAGACTAGATTAAACAAGGACTTAAGGTTGGGACTTGATGTAATCCTGTCCTTATAAGAAAGTTCTTAGTATCACCTCTTGGGTTTCTTACAGTAGTAGTCACCCTATCATACATGTCTTGTATAACTTAGATATAAATCATGTGAACGTCTTTTTCTAAAGTCTTTATAATACTCGTCTTAACACTTGATAATATGTTTTTTTAGAAAATCATATGTATGTCTCATTCTTTACTTGAGTACCTTTCCATTAACATATGTAAAAGACAAACAACTTCTGTTGTATACCTTGGTAAAATACCAAATTGATTCTCCAAAATCCTAGTCTTATATCTTAATCTATGCTCCAAATTTACATCTAATTCAGCAAAAGTTAAAAAGAAAATAATAGAAAAACAATTGAACCACTAGCATGCATATGACAGTATCTATGGCATCAAATTAAACAGAATGAGGGTGTGAAGGTAATTTACAAGGAGAGAGACCTACTGCCATAATAAAATTGAAATTTGAACTTGTAAAGAACCAAAAAAGAAATTAGAAAATAAAAGCAACAAGGGTGACCTGATTTACCTCATACAGGTGATTCTTGCTTTATGATCACTTAGCGTATGGAAAATATCTGGTCTTGCCTTTAGATAGCCATCCAAATCTAAAATGTTCAGGAGTGATCCCTGCTCACCACACCACATTACCAAACAACAATCAGCAGAGTGCAAAATTGTGAGGAAGCAAACATCAGAAAATGCTCAATTCCTGAAATATAACTACACAAATCTCATTCACTAAAAAATATTCTAAGGATACATTTGGGAGTGAAATTTTAAAGGAAAAAAAGATGATTATTTTATTTTTAAATCAGAAGAGTTATACAATATATTATAAATTTATAAATAAATAAAAGATTAAAATGTTAAATTTATATGTCAATCTATTTTATTTTTTATTTTAAAAATCGTTAAATAGGGAATATTTGATAGGAATGAAAATTTCAGCATTTGCTCCAAAATCTTCACTCAAAACATAGCCAAAAGGTTTAAAAGAAATGGTAGCTCAGCAGCGTTGTAATTATAATTACAGTTAAATTTATTTTTAGTGCTTGTAAATATGAGAGTATTTGCTTTTAGTTCTTAAAAACTCGTCTCCTTCACACTCCTCATTTATGAAAATGAGTCAAGTTTGTTCCTTATCCTTCACAAAAATCCATCTCCTTTTGGTCTCTCTTTACAAAAATATAGATTATACATGATACATTTCTGTAAATAAGAGACCAAAACAAGAAAATTCCTTTTTTAGGATCTAAAAGCAACCATTCTCCTGTTAGCAAAATTTAAAACATATTTAAAAATTTTATATTGTGTTTGGTTGAACATCCCTGATCCATGTTCCAGCAAGATTCATGTAAAAATACACACAAAAGCGACTATTAGTTGCTTTAGTGACACGCAATGACGCATTCAAGCTACATGGATGGGGATCCAAACAGGAAGTTAGTGCATGTTAAGATGATTTGTGTCAAATCATTCAAAATCAAGTTGATTCAAAATCTCCTTGAAATATCAGTTAACATGATCTAAGGTAAATCTTCAAGTATTTAGTTCAACATTAAAGAAAGATTATCAAACTCATGAGTGAACTCATAAAATTGGACGAGTTTACAAGTTGGAAGCCATCAACCGGTTCAACTCGCATGCAAACTCATTTTGGGGGGGGGGGGGGGGGGCTTGGGTAAAATCGAGCAAGCTAGTGCAAAAACACTCGAACTAATGATTTCAAGGGCGTGTTGGTGAGTTCAGTTGTGGTGAGAAATCTCACCCATATGATGCTTGTTTTTAGCCATTATAAGGCTTGTTTATACAGGAAATATTACGGCACCTTATTTCTCTTCTCTCTCACAATTTCCATCTGATTCATGGCACCCAAACATTGCTTCATCCTTCAATCTCTCTTGTGACTCCATCTCCACTCTGGTAAAGGCTCCTTTGATTCAACCATCATCTCTTCGGATCATCATCTGTTGAATGTTTGTCTCTCTGTCTCTCATCTCTATTTTCACTGTATCCCTTACGTTCTCACAGTTCCCTGATTACTCTCTATTTGGTCTCTCTCTGTTCAAGCAGAGCAGCAAGTAGGAGCTACAAAATACAAATTGCTTAAAAGCCTGATTCCAGTCCCTCTCTCTCTATACTTTATAATATGTTATTTGTCTTGACTTGAAGTCTATTTTCGTGCCTGATAAATGCTGACTTATCGGAGCATTAACTCCAACATTTAAAATTTTGGGAGTGGGAAGTATATTTCAGAGTTATCAAGCAAATTTTGGGTATTGACAGCATGTTTCAGTATATTTCAGAGCCATCTTGCAAAGTTTGCAGTATAATTTTGGGTTATGGGAGTATACTTTGGTATCTTTTAGGTATTTAATATTAATTTTATATTAAGTAAACCCTTGCAACTTTACAAGCTTACAAGTTGAGCCGACACGAGTTTATCTAAACTCTCGAGTTTGACAACCTTACATTAAAATTTTTTTATTCTGGATTCAAAGTTGATCAAAAGTTAATTGAGTTGAAACTTGAAGCAACTCTAATGTTCTCTGAATTTTACTATTAACTAACTTACTTCTAGAATAAAATAAAATACACAAATCACTTCCCTTCCAAATCAATTTTGCTTAACACTAATCATTATAACCAAAATACAAACCTGTGACCAGACAAGGTGACTTTTGCGGAGGAGCAACTGGTTGAAAGGCTTGGCCTGTTCGCGAAACTGGAGAACGAAGGGATCGAGAAACTTGAACTGTCGCACCGCGGCGTGTCTGGCCAAATACAGTTCCCTCGCTCCGATTCCACGCGAATGCGAAGGTAAGTGTTGACGCCACTGCTCCCTGCGGAAAGAGAATAGAATGTTCAGAAACTGAAATGCAATGGAAGAGAAGAGAAAGAGAAGGTGACCTGAAGAAGCGTTGCCAAATGGAATCGGAATAGGCGAGGCGTTTGAGAGCGGAGGATGTCATGGCCAAATTGCAAACGTCGCGGAGGCTCAGGTGGCCGGCCCAGTGAGCCACGGTGTCTTCGTTCAGGTCGGTTATCGACGTCGCCGGCGAACGGGATGACCCGGCCATTAAACCCTAGAACCTGAAAGTTGGGGTAGGATTGGAGAAAGCCAAACTAAAGTACAAAATGTTCATGCGAAAATCATTAGGATCGTTTAGTTGTTATTTGTTAAGATTCATGAAAATGGGACGAAGAAACCCTAAACCCTAAACATATATATATATATTTTTTTCGTCTATGGAGTATCCATCGCCGATAGCAGTGATTAATCTCTTCGCTACGTTAGAGGTACCTCAAAGGGTAGGATAGTTGGCCACGAGATTTAACGCGATTGTATACACAAGGTAGGATTCGAATCCTTGACCTTGCTTAAGCATGGATCAACTCTTACCGCTGCACTACACGCTTGGAGTTAAGAAGAAATATATTTGTGGTCTTTAGAGAAAATAAATAAATAAATAATATATATATATATATATATATATATATATATATACACACATATATATATATATATATATCTA